TCATTCAAAAGGAGAAACCGAAACAAGGATATACGCATATATACGAAATGTAAACAAAGCAGCGCTTGCTTACCATGTTGAATATCAGTTATGTTGATAACTAACTTCATTTTAAGTGGCTCATGTTGTTATGAAAATATTCACATATTGGAATGCTTGGGAAAGATCACGTAACATTAGAACAGCCTTCTGTCTTTGCCACCTTTGTTTACTTGCCCGTTTTCATCACTGTCACTTTAAATCTCGAGCACTGACTCATTCGCTAAACTTGAACATCCAATCAGAGTTCTCACTCGCCCGGCGGCCCCGACGCTGATTCAACATGCTGAATCGGGCAAACTGCTGCCGACATGTGGAACACCCCAAAGAAACCAGCTAACCAACAAACTATCCCGACAGACGCTTACCGATATTGCCCTACGGCCGACCGTCGGCTTGGTGTGTTTTAGATTTTTCCATTAGCTTTTGGATTATTGCAGAAAATAAATGCTGTGACCAACAAAAATTCATAATTTTATCTATCTTTAAAAATTAGCAGACCTTTTATTAATTTTGAAGCATAAATACAGAAATAAAAAAGCTAGTTGGGATATAAATTAACTACACCACGGCTGCATGACTTTAAAGGATTATTTCACTCCTGAATTAAATTTTCCGGATAATTTACTCACCCCCATGTCATCCAAAACTTTCATGTCTTTCTTTTTATCTTCAGTCAAAAAGAAATTAAGGTTTTTGAGGAAAACATTCCAGGATTTTTCTCCATATAGGGTAAACGTACCTATTAAGATCACGTACCCATTAAGCACACTTCCATATTTGAACTCAGATTATAAAAAGAAAAAATAATGTATTATCATACTTGATGTCTTAACAAATTGATGTTTGTTACTACATACCTCCTGTAATTTCAAGTCAATCAGATCAGTGCACACTGAGATATGAGTATCCATGTGTTTACGCTGCCTGGCAGCCATTCTGAAAGCTGTCTGAAAACTTTCACCGAAAGAGCTCCTTAAATGTGCATTTTTTAGATATTTAAGCCTTTATTTTGGGTAAGTCTAGATGTTGCAATGTGCTTAAATGGCACTTCATTATGAATATATAACTGATCGACTTGAATGCCTTGTTGCTTGATTTTTCTGTTCTGTTTTTTTTTTTTGATTGACTTTGTACATTAAAAAATTTTTTAAATTATTCTTTAAAATTGTTATTATTGTTTAAAATAAACAAGATTTTTTTATAAAACATGATGTGAGCTTAATGGGAACAGGGGTGTGCTTAAAGGGTACAAACATGTACCCATTAAGCACAGCCGGACTTTTTGAATTTAATGATGTATATCTTAATTGAAATGCTTTTGTCATTTAAAATAAAATATTTTTGTGTGAGAGATTAATATTTTATTTGAACATAACTTTTTGTACTGAAACCAATATCTTGTGCACTAAAAATGTCTCAATGTAGATTTTGGTGAGCTTAATAGGTACGTTTACCCTAGTGGGCTTCAATGGGGATCAGTGGGTTGAAGGTCCAAATTGCAGTTTCAATGCAGCTTCAAAGGGCTCTACACGATCCCAGCCAAAGAATAAGGGTCTTATCTAGTGAAACGATCGGTCATTTTCTTAAATTTTTTTTTTAGATTGTATATGTTTTAACCACAAATGCTCATCTATTTGGACCTTCAACCCGTTGGCCACCACTAATTATCAGGATTTTTTTATTCTGGAAGTGAACTAATCCTTTAAGCTTCTGACTCTTTCAGTCTTTATTTAAAATCTACAAGTTGGAAAGTTTGAGTAGTTTGCAAGAGCTAAAAGTGGACTAGTGAGTCAGATGAGTTTTCCTGTTTTGTGTGATAACATTTAATGTCCCCGATAACATCAGCAGTTCCCTTTAGTCACTTGTTAGCAACCGCCTGTTGAAAGGCATATTCAAGCTTAGAAAAATAACAGTGAACATTACTGATGCATTTTATGAAAATATCTGGGTTTCAGCAGTCATCATTCCTGCAACACACTATTGATAAATTTCTTTGGAAATATGTGGCTATTTTGGTGTATATTTCTGTGTAAATCAATGACTCGTTTGCCTGGAAAACATGTTGTCATTGGCTTCCAGTTTTTTTTTTTTTTTTTGGCAGCATGTCAGAATATTACGAAGCAACACAAAACACATTTCTAAGCATATTGTTTTGGTTTGCCAAAAGGATCCACGTCAGGCGTATCATAAAGGAGCACGCCGTGTACAAAAAGCGCTCCACTTACAGACGATGCTGCTGGTATGTGCATCCAGAAGTTCTGGCCCGTCATTCTCAGGAGGCCTTGCCCGTTCCCTGCCAGTGGACCTACCTCACCTTCGGCGCTCAGATCACCCATGACGAGCACGCCGGCTCACAGGGCAACTCGCCCACCGCATCCAGCTCCACCACACCCTCCAGCAAGAGGAAAAGCGCCAGCAGCCACTCCATCACGAAGTACATGAAGAAATGTGGCGACTCTGAACAGGTGCAGTGGTGAAGACTTTCTTTCTTTCCTTACTGTTTGTCTTCTGCTAACTTTGCTGTTTTTTACACAACAAATTCAGACTGAGGCCATGGAGACCGATGGCTTCCAAGCAGACACTGAAGATGATGAAGACGATGATTGTATCATCATTGGGGAACAATCTGGTTGGTATATGTTGCTAATAAAGCTTGACAACAAACAAATCTGCCAGAATAAGCTTGATAAAGGTGTTTTTTTCCTCTTAGGATCCTCTGAACAGGATGCCAACATGTCCTTGCAACAAACCGAGGGGGAAACGGAGCCCATGGACACGAATGCATCCGAAACTGCTGCTCTTGCCCTACCCTGCCTCACCCCAGCCACCGCCTGAGATCTGACCCCTTCCTGTTGGGTTTGCATGCACGTGAACCAGACGCTCAAAATCTGATCTACAGTTCGAAGGATCACACAGTATTTAAGGTCCCCAGAATGAATAATTTGTCTCCTCTTCAAGTGAAGGTCTGTTAGATGGTGTACCGTTCTTCTTTATAGGTGAGGTCCCACTTTTTGAAAGCTCTGCTGGTACATTCATCAGCTCTGACACCAATCAGGAGGTTGATGCTCTCTGCTGGGCTCAGTGCTCGGCACCTTGTTTTAAATCCTTTATTTTTTTTTTTTAATTCAGAATACTTGAACTGGTGTACGTCTTTCAAAAATAATGACAATTGAAATATATTGCACTTTTATATTCCATTTCTGTTTCTTTCTTTCTTTTGCCCCCATCGTAACTTCTTTAGCCCACCAGAAGTCTTTCCCTTGTTTTCTTTTCCAAGAGGTTTTGTATAAAAACAGCATCGCATTGCCCAGGCTACCATACGTGGTGTAAATACTATTTTTGGTTTTTTGAAAAATGGTGTAGAAATGGTGTAGAAACTAAAATAGTAGGTGGCCGTCCAATATGGGGAAAAAACAGCAGCATTTTGGCGAAGTGTTTTCTTAATTGTCTCGAAAGCTAAGTGTTTTCTTAATTGTCTCTAAAGCCAAGTGTTTTCTTAATTGTCTCGAATAAACTGCACCGTAGTTTGCAGTTGTATTGGGTTTCCTACAAAGCTTGTTTAAATAAAGCATTATTTAAAAATGAACAACTTTTAATATGTTGTTAACGAACGTTTTTCTTCCAAGTGATCACATGATGTTTGGTTTCTTTCACATACACTCATCTGACAATGCATTTTATTTCATACATTACATCAAATGCAACAGAACAACATTTTATACTTGACAAAATAGTGTAAAATACAAGCACTGATCATTTTTAAAATAGCATGGTTTAATAAAGAAACAAGCACGTGACAACGATCTTCTGCAACAGAATCAGTCTAATACCCAAAGTATTCACCTTGTTTTTAACGTAAAATTGGGTGCACTTTTAACTTGACACTGCAAGCTTTTCGGTGTCAGCCGCTTTACAAAAACAGTCTACTGTGCTGCATGATATTGCAAACTGGTATTTGTTATAAATATTGTTACATTTATTATCGTAATTATAAACACTGGTTTGTAGTGGGGTTTTTTTTGTTTTTTTTACAGTTTACTGCACTGTATTAAAGTTATTTACCTACAGCGGCTAATGAAGAGGAAGTCGCACATTCACAGTAAATGGTTTTTGTGTTTAAAAATAAGGTGGACCGTTGATGCCATCGCGTAGCCTTTCAAAGTATATATTTCATTTATTAGCATTTGTTAGTGTGTGTGAACACAGACTAGAAAGATCAAAACTTATCTAGTGTCTGCGCTATTTCTCTCCAGAAGTTATCCATCTTATTTTTAACGCAAGTGCGTGCGTGCGTGGCCATTTGTAAATATGCGAGGCTTCCGGTGTCAATCACTTAGTTACTTTACCTGTACAAAAAGCGGCATTATGCTGCTTAATATTCCAAACTAATGTTTTATATTATTTAAATATTAACCATAAACACACTGGTTTGTAGCGCAAATAGTTTTACCGTTTACTGCACTGTTATTCTAGTTTACACAGAAGCAAATGAAGCAGAAGTCTCACACATTCACAGAAAACGGCTTACTTTAGAGTTGCAAACCGTTCCATATTATGGGTTTCTTTTTAACTATGAACCAATAGGCCGGGTCAGTGTTGCCACCTTGTGGACAAAATAATTGGTGCAGAAAATCTGGATGAAATTTATGCTGCATGTGCTTTATGCATTAAAACTGAAGTATACTTTGGGCTTAATTATGCAAGTCAATTAACGGACATGGTGACAAGTGAAACGAGTGGACGTTTAGCTGCATTAGGAGGTATATTGTTGTTGGAGACCAGAGCTTTTCGTCTAATTTAAGTTGCGTTGTAACATTCATGCGTAGTTTCATTTACGTTAAGCAGGAAACAAAACATTAATACCACAAAAGACAGAACTTGGTAGAGCTCATGTTAGATCAGTGCTTCTGCCACAATGAGATTTCATATAGTTTCATTTACGTTAAGCAGGAAACAACATTAATACCACAAAAGACAGAACTTGGTAGAGCTCATGTTAGATCAGTGCTTCTGCCACAATGAGATTTCATGGTACATCAAGATTTCTCTCTTTCAGCAGTAGCTAAAAAGTGCTTTACATTACAACAGATCCTCTCACAGACCATTTCCAATCGAACTGGTCATGTTACCTCAAGCAACAATGCATTATAAAATACGACATTGTTGGGAAATTGGCCCATAAGGTGCTAACGCTCCTCATAACATCACTGACAGGAAAAACTCCTGCGTTTAGTACCATATAAATCCACCTAGCACATGCTGTGGACACAATCAGTGCATCAGGCCCATCCTGTGAAACCGTGTGGGATTGTGGTGGTGGACGATGGGAGAAACTCGCGAGAGAGCGCAGGCGGGGACAGCAGTGACTGGGGAGACTAAATGTTCAGCTCAGGGTCTTGATGTTCTCTGACAGTGCGGCTTTAAGCAGAACAGCTGTCTTTCCTCCAGCGGCAGTGATGTCTGCCTGCACTGCGGCGTCCCATGAAAAGGTCAGCTCGGCTGCTGGGGCCTGGAAGGTGAAAACAAATTGATCATTTTGTATCGAATTAAACATTGTGGACTTTTGTTTAAACTTGACTTACCAGGTTGCACTCATTCAGAGCCAATTCCTCATCATCCTTTAGTTTTTGTCCTCTGGGTGCCATCAGCTCAAAGGGTTGCCAGCCGTTCTCCAGAGAATCACGCACAAATTGGTACAACGCTGCCACCCTCTCCCACGCCAGGAAAGTGCCTGCAGAGCATTTCAAATTGAGGTTAAGCTGAAGAACAAGTTTGTCAAAAGACAACAGACATCTATGGGGCAAAGCATTCTGGAGTGTTTAAAGTCGGCATGAAATCAAAATTGACTTTATTTACTAGCGCACATTGCTAGTCTTGATGTTAACAGTTAATCCGCTGAAAAAAATAGTTTGTCTTGGTAATCTTTAATAAAAATCTGAACATTTGCTTCCGCTCTGGAATGGCAGTCCTTCTCTGATGATGTCAGTTTGACGGCTTGGGCAGAATATCCTTTTAAACACACCCCTCCAACCGTTAATTTGATATGAGTGAGAGACAGAGAGGAGGAGCGCCAAAATAAAACCATGCCCTCTATTCAATATTCCGTTTCAGAAGGAAATACGTCACTACACTGAAATAAAGTCGGCAGCAACTTCCGGTTCATGCGGACTTTAAATGCATCAATGTGCAACTTTTGTGAAACACATTTGACCAAAAATGTTATTTGAGACCATGGGGTGTCATTCAAACTTTTTATGCTAGGAGCCTCTGAAAGACCCCTTTTCCTAATAAAAAAAAAATAAAAATAAAAATATATATATAAAATAACACTACAAAAACAGTACATTTGAATTTAGAATGAATATATTATTGGTGTTAATTATTATGAGTAAAATAATTAGTTAAACAATGGCTGTGAATAGAATAATTGAGATTAATCTCATTTTATATTCAGGATTAAGTTATTTTACTATTTTGACAATTGTGTTTTTTTAAAACTTTCCTTTTCTGTTTACTACTATATTACAATATAAGACTAAATAAAATGTAATATAATATTTTTATAAAGACATACATGTGTGTTAAATAACAATAACAAATATTTGGTTCTGGCTGCCAAAAGAATAAAACACTTTAATTTTATATATTCTGTTTTCATTTTTCTTAACTTTTCTGTGTACTACTATAACACAACAACAACAACAACAAAAAATATAATTTATAAATAAAAACGTGTGATAAATAGTATAGGCAAAATATTAGGTTAAACTATGGAATACAATAATTGTTTTAATACCATTTTATAAAGTCAATTTTATATATTTTTATTTCATTTTTACACTATTTTTTTCTTTGCTGTTTACTATTATATTACAATAAATTACAATACAAAATATTAAAAATATATTTCATTTATAAAAATATAAAGTTGCATTAAATATTTTGAGAAAATAGTTGGTTAGAATAAAATAATTTCATTTTTAAATTCAATTTGATATATTTAATATATTATTTTTTATTTTATTTCATTTTTGCACAATTTTTCCTAAACTTTTCTGTTTACTACATATTGGACAGACGGAATACTACTAGGTGGATGAGCATAATTCTCATAGGTGGATTTGTCTTGCTATTGGTATGTACATACCTCGATACACACATAATATGTATGCCACTAATTTTATACGTTTTATGTATATATACTAGGGCTGTCAATCGATTAAAATATTTAATCGTGATTAATCGCATGATTGTCATGAGTTAACTTGTGATTAATCCCAACTTAATCGCACATTTTTATCTGTTCTAAATGTACCTTAAATAAACACTTTTCAAATTTTGAATACTCTAATCAACATGGGCATGGACAAATATGGATGCTTCATGCAAATGTATGATTATTAGTAAAACCATACTCAACAGAGCATGAAGAGTAGACCTGTTTCAAAGGTCAGATGTTTTTCAAATAACTTGTTCATTAGACACATGAAAAATACCAGGTTCCCATTACTTCTCTTTCTTTGCACTGAGCAATTTACTTACACAAGCCTGTTTACATTTTCACACTACAGGGCAGCTCAGGAACATGCTGTACATTTATTATTTATTATTACATTTGTTTGCCTCTCTGTGCCCACAAACCATATTTTAATGCAGCCAAATTCTCAATAAAACTGTTTTCATTGATATATTTCACTGTTTCTGTTGTCATACAACGGAATGAATATGAAATAGTGACTGAAACGCGACCCATTAAAGTAGACATATTATGCCCCTTTTTACAATATGTAATATAAGTCTCTGGTGTCCCCAGAATGTGTCTGTGAAGTTCCAGCTCAAAATACTCCACAGATCATTTATTATATCATTTTGAAAATGCCTATTTTGAGTGGAAGCAGAAACACGCTGTTTTTCGGGCCTGTCTCTTTAAATGCAAATGAGCTGCTGCTCCCCGCCCACTTTTCCAGAATAGAGGTGCGCCATTACAGCTCGGACCTGCTTAAAACATCAGTTTTGGTTCAGATTATCATGTTTATCGCGCTGAAATCATGCGTTTTACGTTTACGTTAAAAACACACACTAGTTACAAAAACAGTTGGTTATGTCTGAAGGTAAACTGTTGGGGAAATAAATCTTATTTTAGATCTGTGTGGCAGCAGCAACATACAGTAAATAAATCATTAAATCCTCTGCTCTCTTGAGATTAATCTTTTTCATGTTTCCTTGGTTGCTAGATGCACCAGAGACCTTATTATAGCACTTAAAACCTGGAAAAGTCACCTTTAAGACTTCATAACCAGCTTTCCCTTTCAAGACGTTAATCTGCACAAAAATCCTGATTTATAATCGGGTCGTAGTCTGATAAAATCAAATAGGCTACACATAAGATAAAGACAATAGCTGTGCTGTGATTTCGGCTATACTTGCATGTAAAATGAGAGAAGCAACATAATATCTGGTTTAACTGAAAGCGCTGCTTTTTTTGGGGGAAAAAAAAGAAGCTAAATCTAGTTGGCAGCACTGTGTATCTCCATTTCTCCAAACAGAAAATTTGCGCTGCGTTAATCGTGCGTTAATAAAATTAGTGCAGTTAAAATGTATTTGCGTTAATGCATTATAAACGCGTTAATTTTGACAGCCCTAATATATACATAAACTACTAACCCTGGAGTATATTTCCATCCGGTAACCGCACTCTCAGAAGCGCATAGTTGTACTTCCTTCTCTCCCTCTGCTCATCTTTCTCACGCATGGCTTTCGTTCGCAGCATTGCATTTCTCTCCACGACTTCACTCCTGCCATGAAGGAAGATCATAAAAACACGGTGAGACTTTACTGGCTTAGACAGCACAACTGCTACTGTTGTTGATTGTTCTTTACTTCAGTTGCTGTTCTTTTTTCAGTTCCTCCGCAGTCAGATTGTAGAAGTCTGGAGGAAGCTTGAAGTGTGTGGCGTGCTGTGAGGGTCTGAAGACCTGCGGCTGACGGTCCAGCTTGGCTCTGACCGGCTCGCCCTTCTGCAGCCGCTCCAAATGAGCCTTCATCTGCTCCAGAGCCTCTGATTCCTGCGCCGGCAACACCAGGAACTCCTCAGTCGTGTCTGAGAGACATGTGAGGACTTGGCGTCAAAGATATTACAGACTTTACATTTAAATATAATGCTCTTCATATATTACCTTCGCTGTCCACCGGCAATGTGGTGCTTTCAAATCCCAACGCCTGAAGACACTCGCGAGATCCTTCAATCCCACTGACCTTCTCCTTTATGAGGAAAACAACAAAATATGAGCGAATTTGCTTTTTTCTCTCAATCCTGACAGTGAAAACGCTCATACCTGAAACACTTTGTTGCTAAGTTTGATCTTCCTGTACTTTTCCTCAGTCGGATTCTTACAGATGTTTTCGATGTACCTGTGTCCACACATTGAGTTTCAGTTGAACATTATACAAACACGCTGAGATACTGTCGAGCAAATTTTGAATTAAATAGTCCTCACTTGCTAATGACGTCAACGGCAGCCTTTACTTTCTCTTTGTCTTTATTAAAGGTGTGAATCATCATAATGGAGGCCTCTATCGCATCCTCTGAGAAGCTCTGAGAAGAAAGAAGAATGTTCAGTAACTTCCAAATGGAATCTCTTCAAGATTTTGGCTGTAATAAGCTCACCATTAGAATGGCTTCCTTTATGTGCATCTCTTTTTCAGTCTTTGTTAAGGTTTTTCCAGTGAGAGGACAGATGAAGAAAACTCCCGGCACTGAGAAACAAGATGGATCCTTTTGTGGAACACAGGCCCCCTTGAAAAGGTACAAATAAATACGGTCAGTAAGAGAGTAATGCTGCTGTTGAAATGATCTGAACTCTTAAAGGGACAGGTCACTCAAAAATGAAAATTCTATCATCATTTGTTTACAGTTCCTATGGAACACAAAGAGAACCATTTTGAAGGATGGAGTGGCCTCCAAAAAGGCTCTTATTAGGGCTGTAACGATTTAGTTTTGTGAAACTATACATAAAACATATTTGCATGAAACAAATTCACTCTCTGCCAGCAGGTGGCGCTTATGGAACAGTGGCAAGGAAAGAAGACAGAATTTCACTTTCTATAATGTTCTCATTATAATGTTTATGGCAGATTTGTGCTATATTTTCATCTACGTTATCAAGTGATTCCTGAAATCGCCTGCGCGTTTTCGAAGCCATACGAACAATTTTAATTGAAGTGTGCCTACTGTTGAACAAATATGATGAAAAAAAGCACTATTGCATTATTATAACATCAGTATTTATAAACATCTTATGACCGTCTCAAATAACTCAGATAGTCAATATCGGGCATTGGATTTGAGCATGAAACTAAACACTGGTAATATGCATGTTAATAAATATTAATATCCCAACGCATCCTATATTAGATTAATCTGTATGTAGCTAACCGACATCACTACGTGATTTCGAAGCCATGCTTCTCTCTCTTCTCACGTCTGGACCGCATGCTGTGGCAAGCTAAAAATTAAGTTAATAATACTTTTGACAAAAAGGTTTAAAATGATGTACACTCACATGCACATAGTGGTGGCAGAAAAACACTGGCAACAAGTAGAGGGAAACGGGTAAAATACATGGAATAAGAGAAAAATGTATTGTTGTGCCTTTGGATGTCAGAATAAGAATGCAAATCATTTTTATAGAATACTGTCCTCAAAGATGCCATTTGAAGCTAAACGCAGACGTTAAACAGACAGACTATGGATGAAACCTGCTATGATTACCCTACTTTAAAAGCATACATTTTTAAGACATTTTTACATAACATTTACCTATTTTATCTCACAATTCTGAATAACTCGATTTAACTCAACCATTGCGAGTTTGTCAATTCTGAGGAGAAAAAGCCAGAAGTGTGGGATATAAACTTATGATTCTGAGGGGAAAAGAGAGAATGAGAAAAAAAGAGAGTTGTTTTCCCTTATCAGAATTGTGAGATATAATCTCGGAATTGCGAGAAAAATATAAACTCAAAATTACCTTTTTTATTCTTTTATTCCATGGCTTCCATAGACTGCTACTTTAAAACTGACATTTTTCTGCCACCAAAAAACGTCATCACTGTTTGCAAACACCGAAATTGGTCTGTAAGTAGCCTAAAAAAGGTTTACATATATCCGGAACGCTATTCCAGCCTTAGTATATATCCCATCATGCATCATGTCATGAAATAAATCACGAGACTTTTTGCTGTGATCTCATGAGATCATGGAAACCTTTCCAGTGTAAGTTAAATATTAACATAATAATTAGATATTACATAGAATTTGGTAGTAAAACAAAGTGTTGCTTGTTTTCTTGGTGCAAAGATGAGTAGTGGTGATATTTATTTTGTACAACATTTGCAACTGCTTTTTATCACTTAATTAGAAGCACCACAAATTAAAATGTGTCATGTTATAGGGACTACTGAACAGGCATTTAGAAGTTGATTTTAAAATGCAACGCATTTCAAATAAAAATAAAGCTATAAGTGTGTCCCATCAAGTAATGAAAAGTTCTACACACACTTGTGGTCTTCATCCTCACTTGAACACTTGACCCAAATACAGGAAATACGACATACAAGTAGTCAAGTGGTCAAGTGCAAAGACCCCAAGTGTGGGTATTTGGACAAGACATCTACATAAGGGTAGTCCACCCTCATGGTGGCTACCATGTTTAGATCACATAATCTAACTTTCAGTCAACATATCAGCAAAAACATTTGGTTTTGCGTGATCCTGAATCAGAATAAAGTCAAATCGGCCAGCTAAATGCAGACAAAAACTGCATATGCCAGACTTGCCTCGACATCAGTGTTCTTCAGACTGGCCGCTGTGGCAGCCACCTCTGCTTCAAGTTCTCGCTTCACTGAAACACAACGACAAAATGTGACTAAAATTCCCTAATATTTTCTGATTTCTGAGTACAAAAAAAATGTAATAATCTACCCTGATTCCTTATGGCATCGTGGGACGTTTGCACCTTCGGCCGGTGCTGTTGCTCGATCCTGGCGAGCGCCGCGGCCCCTGCTCTGTGCGCGCCCTCAGTGGCCGCTTTTCTGGGCGCTCCGTGAGGAGCCTGTGGGGCTTGAGGTTTAGAGCTGCAGGAGAAACCAGATATGTGACCTTGGAGCACAAAACCAGTCTTAAGTAGCACGGGTATATTTGTAGCAATAGCCAACAATACATTGTATGGGTCAAAATGATCAATTTTTCTTTTATGCCAAAAATCATTAGGATATTAAGTAAAGATCATGTTCCATTAAGATATTTTGTAAATTTCCTACCGTAAATATATCAAAACTTAATTTTTGACAAGCAATATGCATTGCTGAGAACTTCATTTGGACAGCTTTAAAGGCGATTTTCTCAATATTTAGATTTTTTTGCACCCGCAGATTCCAGATTTTCAAATAGTTGTATCTCGGCCAAATATTGTCCTATCCTAACAAACCATACATCAATGGAAAGCTTATTTATCCACCTTTCAGACGATGTATAAATCTCAATTTCAAAAACTTGACCCTTATGAGTTTTGTGGTCCAGGGTCACATATCACCCACTCATATCTGTGCTTAAAACCGTTGCTGTAACCAATAACATCACTGAAGCAGCAGTGACTAAACCACTCCCACGTGACTAACTCGAGACCTTTACTAAGCCTGTTACCCTATCAGTAATTATAGCGATAAGGTTAAACTCACAAGTCGAATATTATTCTGTGTAATGTTAGTTAAAACAGTAAAAACACTGATACATTTAGCACACACTATACATGTTTCCATGCGTCATCTGCAGATATGATTATGTTAGAAATGCAGTCAGACAGGTATAGATGCACTTTGTTCAGATTTCTGTACATTACAATAGATTTCAGGTGTAAAATAATAGCTAACTTTCACTTTTAACTGTTTCAAATGCGAAAAAGTCTATAATAAGAAAACATGTTTTTCGATGTATCGTGATCTGATCATAAAAACTCGTTATGTCTAATTAAGGTTCAGTTTAATGTAGAAGTGTGGTTGTCATGACAGTCTCAAGAACATCTGATCTTTGAACTGTTACCTGCCGTCATCTGTAAGTTTCTTTCCTGGCCCTGCGGACTTGAATTTTATATCCTTCTTGAAGTCGTCGAAAAACTTCTTCATTCTTAGCGATACACTGTGTGCAAAAAAATGTTTTTCAAAAATGAAAAATAAGTTGTTCTGATTTATTTATAACTGTCAGACACGCCACCACCCAAGCGACGTGTTTACAACAGGAAGAGGACAGACTCTGAGGACAGACTTGTTTTATGGCGGGTGGCATCCAACGTTAAGGTGCATTACCGCCACCTACTATACTGGAGTGTGGACCAAGGACGGACTCTCAACCGGAAACATGCTCATAACGCGGTCGTGACGCAAACATTGGGTTTTAGCGACATCAAGCGGAGGGGAGTGACAGATCCTTAAAATATTATTACGAGAATTTTGTCATCATTATTGTAAGGTGTGATTTGCTTTCCTCCCCTTGTCTGTCTATCTATCTATCTATCGATCTATCTATCTATCTATCTATCTATCTATCTATCTATCTATCCATGTGTGTGTGTGTCTATCTATCTATCTATCTATCTATCTATCTATCTATCTATCTATCTATCTATCTATCCGTCTATCTATCCGTCTATCTATCATCTAGCTATCCATCTAGCTATCTATCTGTCTGTCTATCTATCTATCTATCTGTCTATCTATCTATCTATCTATCTATCTATC